ACGTAATCGTCAGGCGGTCGGCAGCTGTAATACAAAAATTGGATCTTTTATTCCTCCAGGAAAAACCAAGATGGGGAAAAATATGAACGGTGTTCACACACACCATGCATACGCCAAACAATCTCACCATTTTATATTTTTAACTTCACGCATGCGCTTTGCTTGTTTTTGATTTTGTCGACAGCACAGTATAGTAGGATCAGTTGGGCGCCGTCGGTGAGAAAAAGAGACCATGATGCAATTGGAAACGGTATGTTGTACTGTTTGGTATTCGCACCAGAAGTTCCAATACAAACATTTTAGAGTGTTTGGGTGTCAATCTGAGGAGAGTGCAGAGGATTTGGATAGAGTTGGATGAGTCTAATTGTGATTACGAAGGTACAGCAGCTTGGAAAACTCACTCTGATTGTCCTGATGAAAATTACTCTCGAATTTTTTAGTGAGGGTCTCAGACTCAATACGGAGGCCATATCAAGTACCTTGCGGATGTAATGCTGACCTCGGAAAAGAGGGTAGCTGTTGGAAGACTATTTAACAGGCAAAATGAATCTGCATCATGCCACACGTGCAGGAGAACCCAGTCATGGCTGTCAGGTAATTTCTGTGACTACATCACCCTTTACATATGGCCAGCCGACTCCAACCGACTGCAACCCTCTTGATTATTATGTATGGGGCAGTTGAGCAAGATAACAACAAAACTCTTTGTAGCACCAAAGCTGAACAGAAAGCAACAATTATGGCAACATTCACCAACTTAAGCAAGGAGACCGCCCAGAAGAGATGCAGGAGACGTCTGGAGAACGTGGTTGAAGCCAATACCAATTTTGTTGAATAAATTTACTCTTTACTAATTCAAGATATTTTTGTGTAATTTTGGTAAATATATTTGTTAAAATGAGATGTCAGTGTTATTTTCATTTTTACGTAATTTAGACGACAATTCATCCATCACATCCTCTCTCTCTCTCTCTCTCTCTCTATATATATATATATATATATATATATATATATAGTCAAATACAAATTTATCATTAATAGATGTCCTTGTATCATTTCTGAAAGTAATATCAAATGTTGGATTTATGATTAAATAATTTAAAAGAATTCGTAAAAGTTAGCTAGATGTAACAGCAAAAATTGTCAAAATGGTGTAAAAGCAAAATTGTCCATTTGCTAGATAAAGCTTTGAAACGTATCTGCGAAATGATTAAAGATATCCTACTGGAATTCTCCAAGGTTTTCATAACACTATTGGACTCTACTTTGAACAACGAGAACATATAATTACTCTCCAAGCTTAACAGAAGAACCGTGATGGTATCGATCATAAACGAAAATGACATGTTCATCATTAATTAATCATAGCTAAGGATCGGAAGCTCATGAAAGATTCAAATAAAGCTCATATATATATATATATATATATATATATATTTATGTATGTATGTATGTTTATATAAAAATGAACTGTTAGTGTTTTTATTATAATAAAGAAGGGGGAAACTACAGTCTCTCGTGTAATCTTTTCATTGAAAATAATTTTACTGTAGAAATACATTGAAAACCTGAAAAATGTCAGTGTTTAGAAATTAACGGAAGCGTTAAGCATAGAATACACCAATCATGTGCACAATGCAAATATATTGCTAATGGTTTTTCTATAGAAATATTTTGCAAATCAAGAAGAGATTGTTGCTAAACAGAAATGGAAGCAAATATTCCTACTAGGAAAGAATTATGTGCAACATATTTGCCCCTCTCTAACTACTCGTCTTTTTCTCTCTTTCTTTCCATTTTCTCCTTCTTTTTCTTCACTTCTTTTATTATTTTCTTTCGTTCATTCAAATAGAATATTTCTTCTTTCTTTCTTTCTTTCTTTCTTTCTTTTACCCACAATCATTGTTTTTCCTTTACTTTTCCATTTTTCTTCAACTCTTTCTCCTATTTCGCGTTCTTTTGCTAAATCCTTCTTTTATTTTTTTCCCCCATTTCTTCAGTTTATCACCAGTGCCCAGTTTTAAATTCCCCCACCCCAGATCCTAGAAGACGTTCACTTCCGTATCTATTATACTTGTAAGATACTCTTGAACTGGACTGATCCATCAAAGTCTTTAACAACATCCAACAGAGGAAAAAAGAAGCCCAAAGCAGAAGAAATTGATCCCTAATCGATTTATTTCCTTGTTGGTATCCTCATGAATTTCCGGTTCTTTTTCTCGACTTCACAAACCTTTAACAATGACTCAGAGAATCATGTGTTGCCATTTGACTCTGATCTCTCAAGTAGCGGGAAAACAGCCGCCATTTGTTTATTTAGATTGGAGTGACGTGTATGTGTTTGTCGTATTATTTTTTTTTCTCATGAAGCCATCAGGTGGATTCATTTTGTCGTTACATATTGAACAGTTACACTAGATAATAATTTAGTCTTTAGTCTTCTGTTTATACGACTGATTTATCATTTCATCCCAACTGTTCTTATCTAATAGTGACTCTTATTATTGTAATATTATTATTAACAAACCTCTTTTAGGATCAATTTGAAAATTAAAATGGTAAAATAATCAAATTCATATAATATATATTATTGTACAATATACGCAGATTTGTCATTCCTCGTCTATTAATCCATTTTAAGTCGCGGAACCTTTACTTTTAACCAAATTGTGAAGTACTTCCTTTCGTCTTTCTTTCTTTCTCTTATAGGCTGTATCAGTTACTAAAGATATTCCCCTCGACTTGACCTCGTGGCATTCAACCAAAATGGCTGAAGATGTGACAGGATACAGGAAATTTACAGTTGTATTCAGGGCTGGTGCAAAGGTACCGTGCACTCACCCTTCACGTATCTACGATACAGCTCCACCCCCAAATCTATGATACGGGTGCCACCACTCTACATCCCAATTTTCATAAGATAGTATTCGTATAAAATGCAAATTTTATTGTTACCTAATTATGTTCAGTAATGGATCATATGCAATTCAACTAGCAAAATTGAAAATAAATACAATGTATCTAAATACAAATTAGAGACATGTCAAAAAAGATCATTCCATCTTAAAATAAATCAACAATGTTTGCTGTAATTTATAAAATCAATTTGAGATTTTTCTTGTCAAAAAGTTGACATTATGAATAAAAAAAATGAATTTTATATAGTGTTTTTGTAGACTTAACATAAGCAAAACAAATTCACGGATTTAGATAAAAAAGACCCCCCCGAATGACGTCAAAATCTACAAAAAAAATTCATCCTTTAATAATCAGTTATGCTAAGTTTAATTTTTGACGTATATAAATATATAGGAAAAAAAAGCAAACGTTGATAATGTAGTGACGCTCAAAAAGCACTGCTCGGAAGCCCCAATCTGGCTAGGCCTCCCCCAGTCGGGGCTTCTGGGGTAGTACGCACCGGCCCTGATTGTATTTTAACAGAAATCATTTCATGCAAAATTATTTGAAATTGAGAAGTGTAAGTAGACGTTATACAAGTCATCCAGGCTTTCCGTCTGAAATCATCGAATAATATTCTCCTCGAAACTAAACTCCGAGTGAACCATAGGGACATGACCGGCCAAACCATATTGGGGGATACTGCTTTGGTTACCTTAGCAAATAGGTTTAACAAAATGTCGTTACAAGCCCTGCATAAAACAATTTTTAATTTAGAATTGTACTTCTTCTAGACTAGTTGCCAATCAATGTCTGAGAGCCTGTTCTATCATACTATTTAATCCATAGTTGGTGGGAGAAGAGGTGGACTCATATCTTTACAAAAAACATTTGCATGAGAGTAACGGTCTCAACTAAAATTCGAACTCGGCTCGCCAATCACATGCTCTGCGCCGATAATCGCTATGCTACCCGCACATCCCTTATCTAATAAGTAAATAATGAAAAATATATTTGTCGAATAGAAATAAACTGGTTAGTTTAAATCTCTCTCGGATAGAAAACGAAGACAGGTTGTAAAACATTGAGGCCCAGAAAGAAAGTAAGAAGCTGATGTGTAAACGGAAGCAACCCTTTCTATTTCTGACTGGAACTCCAGAACAAAGCAGACGCTAAATTACCTACGGATTTGATAAAAAACAATTTCAAATATAAGCGTTTGTAGCCGATCATTTCGCTATAAATGCATTAACCCGATATTAGCCGTTGGTCTTCTCTGTGTGTAGAGCCGTATAACTTTTATTGATGTATGTAGAGCTAAATTGGACGGGCTTGGCTACTGGGCTAGAGATGACGTTCTTTATGAAGAGAGTAAGGAAACACAATACAGAAACAATAGAGGCAAGGAAAAATAATCTTTAGTATAGTATTGCTAACAGTAAAATAATTCGTCTCTAATTGTAGATAAGTTTAAAGAATTGTTCTGAGTTCTCAGTCATAAGGTTTGTTTGTATGGTAAAAGTCACAGCTTAGAAGATTTAAGTCTAAATAGTCTAATCCTGCAAGATAATTCTCCTCCTGATATTATTCAAAGTTGATTATTGCTCACTTTGCCAAAACATTTATTGAAGTGGTCCGCAGCCTCTCCAGATTTTAGGCCAATAGAAAATCTTTTAGCATTATCGTTAATTCCAATATTATTTTGTGATAATTTTCATCAGATAGAAAATATGTTGAAAATATTGTGATGTCATATATTGTGATATTTTGTGATAATTTTCATCAGATAGAAAATATGTTGAAAATATTGTGATGTCATATATTGTGAAAATATTGTGATGTCAATTTTTGAGAATTTCTAGGAAAGGGCATAGAGAAGATAAAGATGTTTTTTTAAGGAGAATAAGGGATACAAAGAAAGTTGCTAAGAATCAGAAAGAGGCTGCTGAAATATTTAGGACACAAGAAGTCAAACGTGTTTAAAAATAAATGACGAAAGAACACGCGCCACTGATTCGGTGAGAAGGTGCAAAAGAGAAAATATCGGTAAAAAAAAAAAATCAAAAACAAAATCCCAGAAATGTGTACAGAACAATGATAACCTACACCCTGGAGGGCCAGTGCTCATAGAGAGAGGGAGAGAGAGTGGGGAGAGATGGGGAAGGAGAAAGAGGGATACATAGAGAGAGGGAAAAAAGATGAGGGAGAGAGGGGAGACCGGGGGGGCAGGAAAAGAGGGGAGGAGGAGGAGAAAATGAGTGGGATAGAGAGAGAGGGAAGAGAAGGAGAGATAGGGGAGAGAGAGTGTGGAGAGAGATGGGGAGAGCTGGGGAGAGGGGTGGTGGAGGAGAAAGAGAGAGGGATAGATAGAGAGAGGGAGAAAGATGAGGGGGAGAGCTAGGAGAGCAGGAAAAGAGTGGAGAGGAGGAGAAAATGAGTAGGAAGGAGAGAGAGGGAAGAGAAGGAGAGATAGGGGAGAGAGAGTGGGGAGAGAGAGTTGGGAGAGAGAATGGGGAGAGAGATGGGGAGAGCTGGGGAGAGGGGCGGTGGAGGAGATAGATAGATAGATAGATAGATAGATAGATAGATAGATAGATAGATAGATAGATAGATAAAGATCAGGGAGAAAGGTGGACAGCTGGGGGAGCAGGAAAGAGCGGAGAAGAAAGTGAGTGAGAGGGAGAAAGAGGGAGAAAGGGAGAGATGGTGGGAGATGAAGGAGAGAGAGGGAGAGTAGTTGGAAAAGGGGAGAGGACGAGAGACAGACAGAGACAGAGAGAAGAGCGAGAGATTATTCCCTTTATTTGATCAAACTTAATGTACTGAAATTATTTTGACTCGACCTAATAATATATTATTAGGTCGACTCATAAATAATTTCCGTTTTTCTTTATCAATTTTATTCTCCCCAAAATAAAATACAATTACATTTTACTCAATTATATAGTCACCGTTATTTGCAATTGCTTTTTGATACTCAAGATAGTTTTGAGTAGAATTTCAAAGGTTTTGATGTGAAAAAGTTTACAAAAGACACAGAAATTGCTAGAAATGAACAGCCTTCATTTTAATGTCAAGATTAAATTCGTACTGTAGATAAGATCTCATTATCAACTTTTCTATCGTTGTTTTGCTTTTACGCGTTACTATTATAAGTTTACTCTTTTCAAAGCTATCTCGAACTAAATGCTATATGGAGATAAATACTATATGTTGTTATTATGTTATTGAAAAATTTATAATTTTTTTTTTCTATTCAATAGTTCCTTTTTACTGTTTTTGAAATCATTTTTTTCGTGCATTTATTGGTGCATTTCTATTAGTGATAATAGACCTGATTCTGACATCGAACCCCAAGCTTGCCACACCTCACGCTCCTTACTGTATTGAGTAACTGCTTCTACCCAGAAGGCTAACGGGAAATCAGCCGAGTTAATGTTATATAATCATGCTTGCCTGTTTATTATTGTCGTTTAATTGAGATTAGGATTAGAAGATGAACCTTATCCGATTTCGTTGCCATAGAACTGAATTTGTTTGCTTGCAGCGTATAATATTAACATCTGCTAGTGATTATTATCGTAACCATGGATACGTTGCATCACAGTTTAAATTATTCTGGAAATGGTTTCTCTTTTTATATCATCATCATCAGCAGCATCTTCCATAACCGGGTGTGGTCGTAGAGTTGCTGCGTAGGTGAGAACCCGACCAGTCCTCTCTACATATCAAGAATTGAAAGCTGGAGAGGTATTCATACACTCGTAACGGACCATGGGCGAACAAGCCTGGCGGAGCCCATCCCTCTCTCCAGGTCAGACCCAAGCTGATATCATCCAACGTGAAGTCTCATCTTCGTCATGGACACATGCCTGTTGATCCCATCGGGGGAACCCTCCGCTCTAGGAAATCCTACTTCTGGGTCCTTCCCTCAGTGGTGTATTAGCATGCTTCTATTTAGAATACGACCCTTTTCAAGAATATCATATTCCAAAGCAATAAATTGTTTCGTTCTATAGATGACACCTTACTAACATACCCACACAAAACTAACTTATAAGACCGAAGCTACAATTGAATTCACATTCGAACACATTATCAGTCTGTTCTCTTATTATATTCAAGCTAATGGTGGTTTAAAAGTCGACGAATAAAAAAGACCTCATAAACGTTTACTCACATTCCAGCAATCAAATCTGGAATAATTAAAGATTTTATTTTATTTGATTGGCCTTAGAGTTTGAAAACGTAATCATTTTTTATTTAACTGCCTTTAAGATTTGAAAACGTAATCATGGCGAAAGGAAACAAAAAAAGAAAAGAAAGGAAAACACAGAACTTTGAGACAAATATACTTACACACAAACCCCATAAATGAACCTGATTGATTTGGTTTGGTTTACGGCATATTAAACTCGATGGATTATTTAATGCCGACAAGATTTTTATTGCTGGTAATATTTTTTTCAAAAAGTATTTCTCGTAATATTTTTTTCAAAAAAGTATTGCTGATAATAATTTTTTCTTCAAAAATTTATTGTTGGTAATATTTTTTACAAAAAGGTATTGACGGTATTCAAACCTATTTTTACACGTTTTGACTCCAGTTTGGGGGTTAACTATTTGCTCAATGCTGTGACCCTAACAGGTGCTAACACCCCGAATCAGGGTGGACCCGGGAACACCAGCAATTAAGAGGTGGCTCCACGCTCCTCATAACCTCCTGATCAGAGGCCTTGCTGTCGGATGTAGTTTATCGTCTTACCCAGGACGTGGATGTAGTTTGTCGTCTTACTCAGGAGGCAAATGAACCTGAAATCATTTTAACTATCGTAAATATAAAAATTATTAAATAAAAACAGTTAAAACTGAATTAATGTTATAACACAATCAGGAGTTTACCAGATAGGATTAAAAAAAAAACGCCCCCCCCACAAATGCATCGGTGAACAAACAGATTTAAATTAAAAAAATATATTAACAAAAATTGACTTACAATTAAACATCAAACCCAATACATTTACATGACACGGGAACGTTCAAGAACGTAAGTTACTTTCGAAAACGCTAGATTAATACAAATTGAATATCGTTTATTCTGTCGAAGGTACATTGAAAACGGCAAAAATTTCAGTTACCTGCAATTAACGGACGATCAGATAATGTTAATGTCTGTTCCTCTTACTAGAAATAATATTGTAAAAATATGGAAGACACTACATAAAATAAAAACGGGATGAAATTAGTCGAAATCTAATTTCTGTAACGATGTAGTTAAAGTAGAAATCAAGTGTTCAGCTGCTTAACGTGAATTATATTATTTTCTCGTTAATGTAGATTTTATTTTTCCGAGATAAATTTCTTCTATCTGAAGACGCTGAAACATGGTCGAAACCTGTGTAAGTAAAAGATTTTCAAAATTGTTTTATATATTTCTCATTCTGTCAGATTCTCATTTAACTTGATTGTATTATTTATCTATCTATCTATCTATCTATCTATCTATCTATCTATCTATCTATCTATCTATATCTATCTATCTATATCTATCTATCTATCTCAGTTCTATTAAGGAATCAATTTATCTCTTTCTGTTTATATCTATCTATCTATCTATCTATCTATCTATCTATCTATCTATCTGTCATGACGCCTTTTTAATATATCCATCCAAAATTATCTTACAAGATCTCATTTAAAGCGAAAATCGAGTCTATAAATGATTCCCAACCAAAAAAAAAATGAAGCTACATTTTATCTTTATACAACTTCATATATATATATATATATATATATATATATATATATATATATATATATATATATATATATATATATATATACACATATATATATATATGTGTGTGTTAAATAAAAAACATCTAACCTGTTTGTATTGTTCAATGCAGTGTTTTTCCTACTTGAATAAATTACCTAAAATTGTGTAATTTTGTTTTTTTTTATATCCGTCAACGACAAACCATGGAATAAAAATTTACATTTTTTTCCCGGTGTGCTATAGAATTAATGGCTTCTGCTAAAAAGCTTCGATTTTACACGCAGAAGGGAGATTTAATGACAATCATTAACCGGAAGTTACAACTGAAATCTTAATTTTCATCTTTTGTCTCCACGCTCAATGTTCACTCATATCATGTGATTGTTTGAGGACAAACAGACATTCTGATGACTCCTTTGGGATAAGGAAAGAAAAAAACTTTCAGAAATGCTAGCTTAGTTTATAACAGACAAAAAAAAAACATGGGTAACAATTTTAAACATTAGGTGGAAGTTATTTTCTAGAATTTTATTAAATGACCGAACTAAAAGAGAATCGATCTTTTTTATTGTTTGGGGTTTAGCTGCAACCACATTAAACTAATATTTTCAAACTTGTTGACAAGTTCTCACTTCTGATTAGATCTTGTCCAATTGGATACGGTAAACATATTACTTTATTTCGACTATCGTAGAGAAAATCAAAGAAAATATCCTTTAAATCCCGCTCGAGCCGTCGGAATTCCCAGAAAGACAAAGTTGGCCGGCTATTGTGGTTTTATCAGTGTTAGGTTGCATTGATAAAGCGAATCATGGGATGGATGATCAGATGCAGTTCGGACACCTCTTCGTGAAGCTTTGCGAAACCCCAACATGATTTTCAGCTCCATTGTGCACTGATGGTAAAAATGATAAAGGCTCTTGCTCTGTTTTCGACATTCTCTGATTGGAAAATCCGGGTTGTTGGTGTGTCTATAACAATATAGAGGAAAATTTCCTGAGAGATCGAAGCATCATTATCTTTGATCTTCCCCAGGAGAGGAATGTGTAACCGAATATCGATTGTAGTGAATGCGCGTCCGATGACAAGTGCCAGGATGTAACTTTGATAGGCAGTGAGTAATGCGCCTGTACAATAAATTTATATTAACCTTATGCATTATCCTGGATGTTTTCGTAGATGAGTGTATGTGAGAGAAATGTTCTATGGTATCGATATGTAATGTATATTCAATTCGTTATCTAATTGTTGTTACCAAGTAAATGGTTCAGAATAACAAAACAGGAGGTTGCAGATAAATTGAACAGTAAATTCAACAGAAGAGTATTACAAGACTTGGGAGTGTGTGTCGGTTGACCAGCGTTGAGTCTATATCACTGTTGATATTTAGTAACCCCCACTCCGAGGGTAGATATGGCACAAGGCTGAGTTTAATGTGGGTCATCCGAACACGTAGGCTCGGCCAAAAAATCCCCGTAGAACCCGGATAAACGGGTTCAGGTTTGTCTACCTCGGAAGAGACTCTGCCCTTCGACACAGCCTCGTCCGGGTTCCTCTCTTCCCAAAGGCAAAGAGTTCGACAACAGATGCGAAAAAAATTTGACACCCACAGGACATTTAAGGCAAGATGAACAGAGAGTAGCGCATGGCCTTGTGTAAATGGTTGGCAGAAGAGAGATTAGGAAATATAGTTCAAGGACAACATTTACTAAGGGATGCAAAAAACAGGAAGTTGTGGAGGACCATGATCGCCAACGTCCTGAAGGGACATGTCACATAGAAGAATAAGATATTTCTTTTATTCGAAGAGAATATTTGCATATTTCAAATATATATTTTTTACCTAATTCTTTTGTTATAACAATGTTTAATTTTAACCTTAAGCATTTCTACTACCGATATTTACCGAAATTAGTCTTTTGTGGCATATCTTTGTAATAATAGGGCACCCAGTGAGGACCATACTCATTAGTGTAGTTACGACCTGCAAAACTAGCTTACTATTTACTCCTCCACTGTGAAGCAGCCATAAAGACTACTGCTTGGCTCAGATGAACACATGGTCCAAATATGAAGTAGAAAGTGAGGATAGAACTCACTTTACTCTCCTACATGACCGTCAGACAATATTGCTAACCACCACGCAGTATTCGGCGCCCAACAAGACTGATATTGGTCTAACACAAAGCCATTTTGGTGTGGGATTCGCCTGAGGATTGAACTCACATCAATATCTTTTGCCCTTCTGGCACTCTTAAAGAGAATGACAAAGTAACAGCAATCGATTGAAAAATCGAGTTCTTTACATCCTTCAATATCTTCTATCTTTTAGGGAAGTGGCTTCATTCTCCCAGGAATTAGTTTTCGACTTGAAAGACTTTCAACTAATTTTGCTAACTTATCTCTGAGCTTCACTGACGTTTTATTGATGCAAATTTAAAAGAATAAAAACGAAAGAAAGACATACAGACAGACTAAGGAAATGAAGGAAGGAAGGAAGGAAGGAAGGAAGGAAGGGAGGAAGGGAGGAAACTAAGAGACAAATAAAGAAAATCCAAAGATAGGAAAAGAAAATGAATTATAAAAAAAGCAAAAGAAGAAATAAATGCCTAAAAACTAAAGAAAGTGGAAAACAATGAAAATAAAAATGTATAATAGAAAAAGATAAGAAAGAAAGCGAAAAAAGAAAGAAAGAAGCTAACAAAGAGGAGCGGAAAACAATGAAAAGAATTACATGAATGAAAAAGAAAGATAAAAGGCGGAAAAAGCAAGCAAGAAAGAAAGAAAGAAAGAAAGAAAGAAAGAAAGAAAGAAAGGGAGAAAGGAAGGAAAGACAAGTCAGAAAACTTTAATGAGAGAATAATAAATGATAAAAAGAAAACAAAAGAGGGAAATAAAGAAAAAAGACTAAAATGATTGGCAAAATATTGATGTAAAAGAAAGAAAGAAAAAAGAAAAAAGGAAGAGAAGAAAGAAAGAGACAAAAAGAAAGAGAAGAAATAAAAAAAAGAAAGGAAGATAGAAAGAAAGAGAAAGAAAGAAAAGATGACTAAATGATAAAAAGCCAAGAAGGGAACAAAAGACAGGGAATAAAGAAGAGACAAAAATGAGTGGCAAAAATTGATGTATAAGAAAGAAATGAAAAAGAAAGAGAAAAAGAAAGAATGAGAAGAACGAAAGAAAGAAAAAAGAAAAAAGAAAGAAAGAAAGTGAAGAAAGGAAGAAAGAAAGAAAGAAAGAAAGAAAAGAAAAAGAGAAAGAGAACAAAGAAAGGAAGAAAGAAGATAAAAGTGTAAGAAAAAATTAAAGAAAGAAGGTGAATAAAAACAGAAGTAAATAAATGAAGAAAGAATAAGGAAGAAATAGAAAGGACAAGAAACAAAAATAAAAAGTTAAAAAAGAAAAACGAGAAATAAGACGGAAAAGAAATCCAACGAAATAAGGAATTTCAAGTAGCAAAAAAAGAAAAAAAAAGAAAGATAAAAAAAATGAAAGAAAGTTAGGATGTTGCAAACATAAACGAAGAAAATGGTAGAAAACAAAAATGAAAGAACTATGACTGAAAGAAAGCAGAAGAGAAAGAGAAGTAAAACAAAGGGAGAAAGTGAATCAGAAGAAAAGGAAAGAAAAGATAAATGGAAGACGAAGACAAAAAAGAAAGAATATCAAACAAAAACAAGAATGATGAAAAACGAAACTCAAAGATTAGAGAAGAAAGAATGAAGGCAAAAACAGAAAAAAAAGTAAAAAAATAAAAGGAGAAAAGAAAGAATAAAGCAATAAATAGAAAGAAAGAGAGAAAGAAAAGGAAGACAAAAACAAGAGAAATAGTTATAAAAAGAAATAAAGGAAATAGAAGATAAAAGATGAAAATTGGTTTGGGTGATTTCTCTTAATGCCGAAATCGATATATTTTGAAAATTATTTTATGGCTTCAGCTAAATATATTTTCAATGCAATTGTTATGCCTTCAACTACAAATAAAGAGAATTATTGGCCATTTTTCTATTAAAGAAAATGTATTGCTAATCATTTTACTATAAATATCTATTGTTTGTAATTCTTTTTATGTAAAATGTATTGCTGATATTTTTACTATAAAAATGTATTTTTATACTTTCATAATCTTTTTTTTTTTATTTGGGGGTTCACTGTTTGCTGATAGCTGGGACACTAAGAGGTGCTACCACCCTTGGTCAGGGTTGACTTAGGAACAACAGCAATTAAGAGGGGATTCCAAGCTCCTCCAAACCTTCAATCTCCCAATCAAATGTCTTGCTGCTGGATGTAGTTTATCGTCATACACAGGATTTTAAAAGATAAAGAAAGGAAAAAAATAATATACACCAAAAATAAAAATGAATAAAAAATATATAGTGTCAATGAAACATAAGAAAGAGCGATATGAAGAAAATGGAATGAAGAAAAAACGAAACCAAAAATAAAAAAGAATATAATGCAGAAAATGAAGTTAAAAATAAGAAGAAAAAGAAAGACAAAAGTGGGAGTCAACGACATGGCGAAAGATACGTTAAAAGAAACGAAATAAATGTGGAAAGCTGTATTAAAAGATGAGAACAGGAAAAAGAAAATGGCAGTCAACCACAAGAAAGATATAATGAAGAAAATATAATATATATATATATATATATTATGCCTTTAAATTCCTTGTGGAACATAGGGCCACGAGATATCATTGCGGTTTATATAACAATTCAGTTAGTTATGTGCCATGCGTGATACACGCTTAGGCGATCATGTATCTTTCGATATATGACTGACGAGGCAGATTTTTCTCGCAGTAGGTTGCCATTTCTTTATGCGATAGACCAGTTGCCATCCAAGGCTATAGAACCCGGTCTGTCCTGCAATTTCCCCATAGCTGCGAGGGAGAAGAAGAGGATTCATACCTTTACCAACAGTATATATAATGAATTCGACTGGAATTCGAACTCTGTTCTCCGATTCCTCAGTCCGAATCGCTATCCATTACTCCACATTTTTCTTCTCTTTCTAAGTAAGTCGGTTGTTAACCTGGAGGATCAGGTTTTGGAATTGAGAGTTGTCCTTCTCCGAGAATGGATTTGACTGGAATTCGAACTCGGCTCTCCGATTCCTCAGTCCGATTACGCCATCGAGCCACCTGGTAATTGTAATGTTATCCGTTTAATGTTCAGCATTCATTGCCGAGCAGCCAATACTTGTGTCGGTTGAAATTTAAAAAATCCTTCCCTTAAAATAATTTTTCAGGGCAAAATATGTTTTTCAAGTCCAGTAACTGTTAGCGCTCTTTCCAGTATTAATGGAGATTTTCTTTCTCACCTTTTATTTAAAATAATGTTGGATGCCAACACCTTCATTCAGTCATTATTTTATCTTCGAGTTACATGTGATATCCATTTTAGCTGTTACTGCTGTTGTAAATCCCCAAGTGATGTTATTTCTGCTATTTAGTCGAATTGATCTTAGAAAACGGCTGTATACAGCAGGCAGTTTAGATATTTCGGAACGGGTTTTGGAGCCATGCATGACACCCATATAGAAGTCTCGATTTGACGAGTCTATTTAAGAAGCTGATTCGAGTTTTCAGGTTAATGTTTTAAGAAAGAAAGAAGGAAAAAATTGAAAGAAAGAAGGAAAAACTTTGGAATAAAGAAGGGAAATTTTGGAAGAAAGAAAGAAAGTAAACGGAAGCAAAATTTGAAAGAATTAAAATCAAAAGAACGAAAGAATGTTATACCCGAAAATAAGAAACGAAGGAACGATATGGCGAAGAAAATGAAAGAAAGAAGCAACTCTACTAAGAAAGAAGGAGAAAGAAGTATATAAACAAAAAAAGAAAGAAGTGCGTTTACGACGAAAAAATAAAGAAGGGCACCTGAACGAAGAAAGAAAAAAAAAGAAATGCTAAGGAAGAAAGAAAGAAATAAGCATATACATAAAGAAAAAAAAAGTACCTCAACGGAGAAAGAAAAAAAGAAAGTGTTTTTATGAAGAAAGAAAGAGAGAAGACCATACACATAGAAAGAAATATATATGCAAAGAAAGAAAAAAGCACCTGAACGAAGAAAAACTAAAGAAAAGAAGTGCCTTTATGAAGAAAGAAAGAAAGAAAGAAAGAAAGAAGTATATACACAAAGAAAGAACGATCGAAAGTAAGAATGAAGTATATACACAAAGAAAGAAAGAAAGAAGCATCTCAACGAAGAAAGACAAGAAGTACCTTTATGAAGAAAGAAAGAAAGTAAGAAAGAAAGAAACTAAGAAAGAACTATAAGCACAAAGAAAGAAAGAAAGAAAGAAGAAAAGAAAATAAAAATCGAAGAAGAAGATTATAAAGTCAAAAGAATTGAAAAAGGAAGAGAAACATAAAATTGGACGACATAACGAAGAAAAAGAATAAAAACAATAAAAAGTTTCGGGTGTGGCCTTCCGTGGGATTTTTTTCCAATACTACTTATGTCTATGTGTGTGTATTGCTGGTTCACTCCCTGGCTTCTTCACCTTTACATACCAAACTATGACTAGAGCTAAAACAGTAGAATCAAACACAATTCTTCCAAAACAAGATTAGACTTCAAATTCTTCATCACCTATACCAAAATCAGGGATCTCTACATTCTAGCTTTCAAGAAGTTCAACTCCATCTTCATGAGGTCAGATCCCATATCACGTTCTTATTTGAAAATGGACTGTCAATTTATTTCCAGTTCCTGAATTTACAACCCATGGCAACTCTATAAAAAAAAAAAAAAAAAAAAAAAAACCAAAAACATTGCTCTTTAAATCGCTATAACCATGGTCATGGCGGGAGAGGATATTTCATGACCGCCGACTCAACACGGATGTTCAATTTTCAAACTTGTCATCACACCGAAAATGGAAATTTTTAGTCAAAGAGAAAAAGAAAAATTCATCCACGAATGCCATTTAACTGCATTTGATGAGTTTAATAAGTGACAGCAGCATGTTAGCGTTGTAACGAAGGCTTTAAGTGCAATGCAAGGATCAGACGAAGTTTGGAGAAGTTATCAAGAAAGTAAATAAGCTTTCGCACAATTCGTCAACGGTCAATATAGACGTAGCTAAACGATCTCCAACTAAATATTTGACGGGAATTGCATACAATTTTCATTAAATTTTTAGATTAAAAATAATGTTTTAAAAATGATCCTTAATAAATAGCTTTTGTTTTTAAAAGTGTTGAGTCGGCGGCATTGAGTTGGCCATGATAAGTCGTCATGCACTCTAGTCTTGGGATCTATATCAATGTTGGGTTCCCAAATGGCAACGTCCACCTAAACTAGGATGCTGATTTCTCATTCATGTGCCTTCGCGTTTCCATCGTTCAGAGGATGTCTTCCGTCTACACTATAATCATCAGGATTATGGAATTGCGATGTTTGACGAAATAACTGAGAAGATTGATGTTATCCTATCGGATCAGTTCACATCAACCACAGCTTTCATATATGTGGCGATTTCAACATCCTCAATGAGGAGTGAAGAATCTACTCAAACAAAACCAATGAAAACAATAACTACTGTCATGACTTGTCCATCGTATGCATATAACACGGTCGGCCCGACTCGATGCTGAGCTGTTCCCACGCTGGTCAGTACTGCCGCCAGTCAGCTGATGATTATTTGCTTTCCGCTTTGTTCCGTTATCTGCTTCTGTCTCACGTTGTGTTCCTTGAGTAGAGAAGATCGAATTTCGTTCGTACTTGAGCGCTGGATCGGACTGTGGCGGATCCGTGGTACAAAACGACAAAGAACACTTCCGTTGGCAAAAATAAAAATAACACAACAAAATAACGAAGAAGGTCACCGACTTAATTTTCAATTGGTTTATATAGTTTTTGATACAGCAAAATTAACTCTTCCCTTTTAACTTTTTCTTCTAAAAGTGGGTTCAATCAACAAAGAAACAGGTCGGTTGGGAATTCTCTCGACAGCAGGTCACGTGGGGTTCAGCAGTTCCTTTGTCCGCTGCTGCCTTGTCACGTCTGCGTCTATTGCTGTCTCTCATTCCAACTCCTGGGTCGCTTAATCGCTCTGTTTATATGTATTTCGCCCAACTTCCACCTCACCCCAATACTCATCAGTATTCATCTCAATTAATTATATTCTCCGATTTTGGAGAAAAGACAGAATACATTCTTCGACAACAAACTTTGTTTATCATTCCTTTCTATATCAAGACGAAATCGGCCCGGTATCGGTTACTTATTAAAAACAATAATTTTCCGATAACAAAATTTGTGTTTATAAATTATTTCTATGTTCTTGATGTCAAAGAATTTCATTTGTTGATGATTTTCCAATATGACCCATACAATTGTTCTGCCTATTTTGCATGTATACAAAACGACACTCCACATTGTTTACATTAACGGCTTTGCGAATTCTAACAATTCTATTTGTCTATAGACTTACATTTTACATTCATATTCCATCCTGCGTTCCTGGTTATCAGAAATAATTTTTTCTCGCTTCATATTTCAATTCACGTTTTCACCTTAATGCTTTTAACATTTTTAACCCTTTCAATTCTCCAATTCCTATACGGAGTTTTCATATGAACCCTTTTAAGCGTAATTTCTTTCTAGCAGTGTCACAATAGTGTCACATACGAGCTGACTCAGATCGTGAATAAATTTACTCTTGTTCTACACCGAGACTTTTTTTTTCTCACCTCCTGTCCTAACAAATAAAATGTTATCTCTCTTAGGTTCTTCAGACAACGTACTGATCAATGCTAAGACTGATGCAAAAAGCAAATACATCTTTTGGTGTTCTATTTCATAGGACAATATTTCGATACTCCAAAGCTGACTGGGATAGATTCAGATATTTCAATGCGGAATCTCTCTTCTCAGCATTCTTCAAAAATAGAGCTCCTATGACAGCCACCCTCATTTCCGAATGAAACACTTCTAGCATGGCGAGGTTTACACAAAGAGTACCAACACATAGCCAATAGTCAACCTTGGTTCACGCCAGAGGTCACTATATCCACCTACCTCTGTCTTTATCACAGTGAACGGTATAGAAAAAACTCTGGCAGTTTTCAGAAAGTGAGTTCTAGAAAATGCAAAAAGCAGTCAGTCCAATCCAAACCTGAAAACAAAAGACTTTAGTTCCGTCATCTCTGGAAAATCAATAACTTTTAAAAGAGTCAAACCGTCAGTACCTACTAATCATCCTTAGGTTATCTGTTCCTCATCGAATAAGGTTAAGCTCTTTGTAATGAACTTTACCTTTAACTCTACGTTAGACAAGGTGTATCCCCTACCAGACCGGAAGTCCGGTAGGGGATACACCTACCACATATTTTGTGATTTCTTAATCTCGGCCGAAGAGTTTTCCTGACGCACGAAAAGCCTAGACTCTACAAAAGCTACCGGTCTGGTTAAAAAAGTTTAAAAAAAGACAACAAAACAAAATAGGGTTTCGATTTTTCAGGCAAGATAAGCTTCGTTTTTTGTAAGATTGATGAACCACAGTCTTATAAA